CAGCAATTTCAAATGAGTCAAAACCATGGAAAATGTGTCTTACTGATGATAAAGATGAAATGCCTCTTTTCCAGCTAGATTTACCTATTTACAGCAAAGTTTGCTAATGCCAGATTACAAAATATGTGTTGAGATGGGGGAGAAAGAAGGACTCAAATAAGACTCTTGCTTCTACGCCGTCGTCTTCCTTCTCACTCCACCATCTTGACAGATTTCGCTGCCCCCAAACCTATCTTCACAGATGGTCGATGGCACAGGAAACCTGCCACAAGTTTTTGACTGGTAAAAGAAGAAAACATATCAGAGCGTATTTTTGGCTTTCTGAAATGACAGCTTTTGCGAATCTTGTAATCTTTCATGGCATCCCTGCTGAGCATGCATCTGATCTCACAGCTACCTGTTCAGTGGGAAATGGTAGAACAGAAAAAAGCAAACAAAAACAACCAAAGATTTTTCTTTCCATCTTACTGCCTCTTCTTGTAGATCAATGTAAAATGGTCTTCAGTACTGTATCCATCTTATTTATTTATTTAATATCTTTGCTTTCATTCACAACTAGGACTCAAGGCACCATGGAAGATTGAAACAAACACAATACAGATAAAACTAATCCAGTGGAAAAATCTTCAGCAGAGCTTACAGATAATGGTACATTCCTTGTGAACTATCCTGACCTAGTTGTTTGTGTAAAGGAAGAAGAAAGCATCTCTTGTAGTTAATAGGATTTTTCAGTGTCCTCTACTCTCACCAGTCACTCAAATTTCCAACTTCCTCTACAATAATGGCAGGTTGAGGTGTTGGCTGGCAGTATCCCAGTCTCCTTCCTCAAACAGTTGGAGTGGGAGCCTGCAAATATGCAGAAGTTTAATGCAATCTGTCTTCTTTGGTAATCATATTCCTTCAGCACCGTGTGCTATAAAGATGTATTGGTAAATGCATTTGCTAAAGATATACTTCCAGAGAAAGAAAGAGACAGAGAGGAGGAGAAAGAAAAGCCTGATTTACCAGAGGCATGAGGGAAGGCTTGCATATCAGCAGCTGGCAAGGGATAAGGCATACACTGTAAAGAGCTACTTGGGGGGAAAAGGCTTGTGCAACAGTGAGGCAAGGCCTGCTTTACTTTAAAGCCAAGATTGGGGAAAAAAAGAAAAGCACACGTTTTAGGAGCTGGAGACTTCAAAAGATACTGAAGAAAAGCTCTTTCCTTGGCAGCCTGAACCTTGCTGATTTGCAGACATACAAAGACCTTCTTTGTAAACAGGAAGGGTAAAAATCCACCAGGACCTGGAACAGCATTTGAGCTAATATATCCTGACAATTTCCCCATCTCCTTCTGTCGGGGCTTCTTCTGGGAGTTGGCTGGCAGTTTGTTTCAGTTGTACTTAAATCAGGCACACAGTTTCCCCTTCACCATATAAATGGAAAGGGAAAAAGGCTCCTTTACACACTCTCAGCTTCTCTTCAATTCATGTTAACCCCCCACCCAATGAAATCACCTCGGCTTCCAAGTTCTGCATTCACATGTCTCCCTTGTCTAAATCGGAAGTTGCACACAATCCATGACAGCCTCCAAGGAAACGCTTTGTCAGCCAATCATCACATACAGAACCAGATGATACTATAAATAGTCATTTCCTTGCACAATGGAAATTTTGAAGAATATTTTAAATCTCTCCCAGTCTGGCAATACTTTAGTCTTGACTGGAGATCCACTCGTGATCCCACCTTGCATACTCAAAAGTGTCCTCAGTAAGATCAAGTTGAGGCTCATCCATCCCAAACATTCTCTGAAGCAGGAGTGGGCACAGTTCAGCTGCAGGTAGCCCACATGGGTCATGTTGGGGCCTCTGAGGGTTACAAATATTTTTTCTGTAAAAGATATGGTTTTGTTCCAAAACGCCCCATTCTTTCAGTGACATGGAAGATATTTCAATCGTGTTTGCCCCCATTGAGTTTCTTTCTTTCTTTGTTTTATTTGCATTTCCATCACATTCAGGTGTACCAATTTAGGTTCCAGACAATACTTTTTTGAAACAAGAAGTGACTTCTGCTCACTTCCCATTTTTTAAAAAATTCTCTTGGACTTAAAATGGTCCAGGAACATGCAAAAATGTGGTGGAAAATATCTCCCATGCCTCCTAGAGGGCATTTGGATGCACCTTTCCCCTTTATTTATGTTTATTTTTTGCAGAGCTTCCCTAGCCTTCCACAGTTGCTTAGCCTTGCTTTAAAGTATAAAATATACCTAGGAACATCACTGAAAATAGCATTGTATTTGATTCGTTACACTGCTAATATATCCCTCAGTTCATGTTTATGGATGTTATGTCAGAGTCACGTTGCATGTTTTATTGTGACTTAGAAATTGATCTCTGCACTGAGAAAAGGCATGCATTTGTCTATGGATTACCATCCTAGCTAATCACGTGAGCTTAAGATTTAGACAAATCTGTAGATTACGTAACAATTGTATTGGTTACGAACCAATTTATTCTAGTTAATAGAATTATTCATTAGAATGCTTTTTTTAGGAACTGGAAAGTTGTTTTAAATCAGTGATTTGAAATGAGCTTTTTTCTTGGAAATGAACCCCTTGGATAAAAAATAGTTGACACTAATTTTAGAGCAGCCCTATGTCTCTTTTTATCCTAAAATCAAAAAAGTCATTAGCACCAGTAAGTAAGTAAACTTTATTACAGTCGATGCCCAGATCATAACAGGGGGACCCAGCCCCATACAACCACATCAAACCCAACGGGTTATATACTTCAAACCTCAACAAATTTTAAAATCTAAGCTAAAAACAAATACAAGTAGTTATTAAAACCTAACTCAACCCATGAAATCATCCAAACGTAGTCTAAAGAGAAGTAGTGGGGATGGCACCGGGGAGGGGGAAACATCCATCATGATAAATATCAGTCTATATCTGATTTCACATCTGACCTGGCACAAATGAGAACTCATGTATTTGAAAGATACCATTCAGTTAGTCTGTTTAAAGGATTTACCTATTTTATCACAACAACAGCAAGAATTTCATTCCCTTTTGAGGATAAGGTTTTGGAATACTTTCATAACATGACACAAGAAACAAGACTGCATTCTACTAAAAAAAGGAAATTGTGCACCTGAGGGAATGAAGGATATAGTAAAGAAAGCAAATATCTACACAAAACACAATGGTAGTGAACTGAACTGCCCTGGATTAAACCTTTAAATCTGATCAATAAGACAAATCCAGTCAAAGCAGTTGTTATTATATATTAAAAGCTGTATTGTTGCTGGAAACAGTAAAATTGTGGACTTCTGTTAAAGTTAAAGATTATATGAGAAACCTACTGGGTAGATAGCCTTGGGCAAGCAGTAGCTCTCAGCCTAACTCTTTTCATGGGATTTGGTTTGTTTCATTTTGTTTATTACATTTCTATACCATCTGAAGATCTCTGGAAATTTACAAATATATATATAGAGAGAGAGGGGGGGGGCAGAGAGGGAGAGAGAGGGGGGCATGCAATATAAAAACACATCATAGCAAGGATCAAGTTTAAAATAAAATGAAAAAAGCAAAGTATGTAGGCCAGTAGCAGTGAAATATAGGAACATGTACAAACACACACTCTTTACAAAATTAGAATGATTATAAATTTTAGGTTAAAATGATTTTTGACTGGTTTAGGGAGGAGCCTTGTATAATCAGGGTGTCAATACTGAAAATGACCTGTCTTAGGTAAAAAACCAGTTCATTTCATTTGAAGTTACCTGTAGGGAGACATATGTGCTGCATAAATACCTTAAAGGCACAAAATCCTGGGTCAGGATTGGTTAGTACAGGGAAGGGACACTACTGAGAGCTGTAGGCTATATAACTCAGAGGATGGCAATGGCAAATCCCCTCTGAGTAAATCTTGTCAAGAAAAACTGATGATGGGGTTCCTAGGATTGTCATAAGTCAAAACTGACTTGAAGGTACATAACAACAGATACACATATTATCCTGTCTGATATCAAATAATCTGTGTAGGTGTGTAGACAAAAAGCAACTGAAAACAAAGAAACATTGTTGAATATTCTAAAATAATTTAAACAATGTTTTAAAAAAGTCAAAATCACACTGGACCATACAGATTCAAACCATTATATTTAGACCTCAAAGCATTGGAAGAAAGTGACATTTTAGATTGGAACTAATAAGAAACCAAAGTCAGTGCTTCCAAGAGAGGACACTGCACAACCACAGTGGCACAGCAAAGAAAGTCCTCAGATCATCTTAGGATCCAACACTGGATCCTAAGATATGGGAAGAAGGAATCCATCAGATGACTTAGTTCTCAGCTCTTTAGGAATTTGGAGGTTATTATTAGAATTTAACTGGATCTGGAAATATTGAACACTGCTAGTGTACTATTACTGGTAAGGCTGCTTCTTGTTACCAGTTGTGCTGTCCTAATTCTGAACTACTTAAGGTTCTGGGTGGTTTTCAAAGGCTGTTCCCATATATAGTTGCATTGCAATTATATAGAGAAGAAATTAGCCAGGATAGCTCTGTCTAGACTGGGCTGCTGCTTCTATATCTATGCTGTTCATCAAGCTCAAATTCACAAAAGTACTCAGCACCATCAAGACTGGAAGTGACCAGACTGATTGTTTGAGCAGAGATCCTAACTATGAACCTTCAAGGGATGGATTATAAGGTCTTTGTAAAGACAAACAAAACAGAATAGGTAAAGTCTGCACATGCTATAGGAATGATCAGTGCACAGGCTTGTTATCAGCAATTTTAGCTTTCTTCATGACCATCTGTGATAGCTAGATCATACAACCAGGTTTTTCAAGTATGTGAATCAATCCCCCAGTTATCCACAGTTGCAGCTATAAGGGAATTCATATAGAGATAAAACCATGTGGCAGAACTATGCATCATCAGAAACACTAGTAAAGAGTGGAAAACATTCACTTGGAATAAAACAAAAAATTAATCTGGCAGTAAACCAAGTTACCTTTTGTGCTAGCCTAACACAACGCTGATACTCCTTGACCAGCTCTGAGCAGTTGAGCACTTGGTGTTTGTTTTCATTGTAACACGTCAGGATTGCTTCTTGCAGATTTGCACATATAGGCTGTGTGTTCCTCCGCCTGTAGGACACAAAAAGAAAGCATCCTTGTCACAGTCCCAATTCTTACTTATTTCATCAATATTATCCAGTGTCCATGTTATGGTCCATACTGGTCACAGCCCTCTCTCTAGACCACTGCTACACTCTTAGAAAGCCTCAGCTTCAGATGTGGAGACTACAAGTTAAACTTTAGAGTCTCCACATTTGAGTTCTCCCCATATCCATTTCTCACAAGCATTATGATGAAACCGTATAAACTGTATCAGTGTTTCTTTGAGTGGTCCTCTGTGAATTCGCATATATGGAGTTTACTGCACCTGTGCAGGCTCTAACAGAAGCTTCCCAAAGATGGTATTAGCTTTCCACACTAACCCAGGAGATCATCCTCCCAGTCTTTTTTCAGTCCCCCTCCTCATACCTAGAGAGACAGTTATACCTGCTAGATGTCAGAAGAGCCCTACTCTTCTACAGAGACAGGACTCAGTCAAGGAGAAAGTCCCCATGACTGTTTATATCTTAAGTCCCTGACAAGATTGGCTACCTTGTTTCCTCCCAACAGCTTTCACATTGGATTGAGGCAATCAAACTCTGTTACCAACTGGCCCATTGACTTCCCCATTCTTCAGTTTGCCCTCAATCAACAAAAGGGTCTGGCAGCCTCCACAGCCTTCCTTCGTGAAATTCCACTGGACTCCATTTGCAAGGGGCCAATCCCCTAACATTTCTGTTCCGCTAAAGATTGGGCTTGAGGTTTCATTTGGACACTGCATTTTGCAGGTCAATTCTGTCCTCCTGCCTGTCATAAATATTACCTCGCACCAGGCCACATACACTTGCACTTTTCTGTGTCACACAGACACAAGAGCCAATGCACATCACTTATCTCAATCTCTAAACCTTTATTGTGGAAAAGGTAACATGAATTGGTAGACTATATTGTGTCTGAGTTCGAAAAACATTATGGGCATGCCAGTCCAAAAGATGTTTATCTCTATCGGTTCCTGCCCTCATAGGGACAATCGTTATCTCCACGGTATCGTCCCTCAGTACCGGCAATGCTATCGTTCTGCCTACTTACTCTATGTAGAGACTTGTTAGTCTGTCTACTTGTTCCAAGAAAAGGACCACAGGTCCAATGCTAATGTGCCTTCTGTGCCATCAGAATGAGTGTGTAATTTTTACTTGCACTTCCATGCTCTTACTATTGCCAGGAAAGAAGTGTGACATTATATTTGTACCTTCTTATGCACTACACTTCATTGATATGTGCAATAAATGCCTTATTGGTTCACTTAATTGGAGTCGGTTTGATATGTGTCCCATCTACCATGACTATAGCTTGCTAGTCTCCATATGTGTGCATTCACAGCGACCATGAAGAAGGAGGACAGGTTGCTTACCTGTAACGGTGTGTCTTTGAATAGTGCTCTGTGAATTCACACAAACCCATCCATTCCTCCCCTCTTATGCAAACTTCCTCCTTTCTAGCTGCGACTGTAGCTCAGGAACTGGAGAACGTGGAGCCCGGGCACCTTTTATGCTCTTGGGAGGAGTGGGCAGTGTTACCACCAAAATTTGAACCATCACAGCTTGGGAAGCTTCTGTTAGAGCCTGCGCAGGCGCAGTAATCTCCATATGTGTGCATTCACAGAGACCACGAAAAAGAAATATGTCTATATTATTTTAGAGCACATTATAGCTCAACGGTGACACATATGACTTGCAGCACAGAAAAGACCTCAATTCAATTCTCCAGTTAAGAGGTGGCTGAATTAGCAGGGTGAGGGAGCTACAGGGAACAGAGGCTGTCTGCCTCAAATGGGTTAGACAGACCCCTGGATAATTATTTTGCAAGAGTTTTGGACTTGTTATTGCTTCATAACACCAGCAACCCACTGAATTATACTGCTAAAATGAAAAACATTTACGGTATCAAGAGAAATTCTTGATGTGGCAAGGCACCAAGCTACATTTAGTTCAGTATTTCAAACAGATTCATGGGCAAATAGTACTTTTACTTCCAAATGTATGTCTTTTGTAGCTGTCTCATTGGATTGAGGCAATCGAACTCTGTGAATCAGTGAATCTTGAGATCCTAGTAAAAAACAAAGTAGTTTTCACTCCTACAAATACAGAATACATTCTGAAGGTTGGATGGAAGCAATGCTCTAATTTCAATGCAAGGCAGCTTCATGTGTTAACGTACAATTGATTCAAAAATCCTAATCTATTCCTCTGATAAACATGCTTAGAAAAATATTTTAGCATCCAAGGAGATGCATGATTTCCTCATAGATATGTTGTTTTCTTTATGTGTTGATTTAAAAAAAAACAGATTATCTATATATATAAATCTGTTAGGTTGGTTCAACCGGACAGCAAAACTCACAAACCCCCCAACGAAACTTAACCAAAATTCCCATGCCCATAACACAACCCACAAGGTACAAACATATCTACTCAAAATGAAAAACAACACAGCAACACACTCACAAAACGGCAAAAGAACAAAACTCAAAAAACCCCAACGAAACTTAACCACAATTCCCATGCCCATAACACAACCCACAAGGTACAAACATATCTACTCAAAATGAAAAACAACACAACAACACACTCACAAAACGGCAAAACAACAAAACTCAAAAACCCCCAACGAAACTTAACCAAAATTCCCATGCCCATAACACAACCCACAAGGTACAAACATATCTACTCAAAATGAAAAACAACACAACAACACACAAAACGGCAAAACAACTGAGCATGCGCATTGGTGCCCAGCCGCAAGTTCCCTGGCGCGCGCACACAGTCTTCCGGCCAATGTTCCCTCTGCGGAAGCCATGCCCACTCCAAGCCCCGCCACGCCGCTTCCCGCACACACACCCCCTGCCGCACGCACACACACAACCCCACGCTCCATCACTCCCCCCGCCGCACACACACACGCAACCCCACGCTCCATCACTCCCCCCCCCGCCGCCACACACACACACGCAACCCCACGCTCCATCACTCCCCCCGCCGCCGCACACACACACACAACCCCACGCTCCATCACTCCCCTGCCCCAATCTTACCTCCTTTTACTTCACGCCACCTCCAAACCCCACCGCGCCCCTTCCCGCCCTGTCAAAATCCAGGAAAGAAGGGAAGGAAGGAAAGAAGGAAGAAAGAGAAAGGGAGGTAAAGAAAAAGGGGGAAGGAAGGAAAGTTAGAGAAAGAAGGAAGAAGAAAAGGAAAAAAGGAAAGATGGAAGGAAAGAAAAGAGAGACAGAGAAGAGAAAAGAAAAAGGGAAGGAAGGAAAGAGGTAGAGAAGGAAGAAATGAGAGACAGGGGAAAGAAAAGGAGAGAGGAAGGAAGGAAAGGCAAAGCACTGGAGCTGCGGAGAGGCCAGAGTATTTCAGTAAGGTGTCTACGTTTCGCACGACAGCGTGATGGAAGGCACGAGGAGAGCAGGAAAAAAGAGCCCCATGCATAGAAAGAAAAAGGGGGCTCAGGTAAGGAAGGAAGGACGGAGCGAAGAAAAAGTGATGAAGGAAGTAATAGAGTTGAGTGAGTAGGGGGAGATGTAGATACAATCTTGCGGTCCATAACGAGTTAAAGTCGACGCATGTGAATGAAAAGAGACCAGAAGAGAAAGAAAAAGGGGGAAGGAAGGAAGGAGAGAAGGAAAAAAGGGAATGAAGGAAGGAAAGAGGGAGTGAAGGAAGGGGGAAGATGTAGAGAAAGAGGGAGGGAAGGAAAGAGAGAAGGAAGAAAAGAGACCAGAAGAGAAAGAAAAAGGGGGAAGGAAGGAAAGAGATAGAGAAGGAAAGGGGAAGGAAGGAAGGAAGGAGGGAAAGAAGGAGAGAAAGAGGGAAGGTTGGCCACAGCAACACGTGGCAGGTAAAGGTTGTTATTTCTATTATTATTATGCTATTATTCCTATAGACCCTGGGGGAATGGGAGAGGTGTCAGGTCCCAGAGGCAATGCATTGCATTATTGTTATTGTTATGATGGTGGTGAAATAAAAGGAAATAAAAAGTGAAAGAAGGAAGCAAACAGGGAGGGAAGAAAGGCAAAGGAAGAAAGGGGGAGGGAATGAAGGAAAGAGAGAAGGATGAAACCAAGTAGTGAAAGAAGGAAGGAAAGAAAGAGGTAGAGAAGGAAGAAAGGAGAGAAAGGGGGAGGAAAAGGGGGAAGGAATAGGTAGGTACCTCTCTTTCATAATAGTCCAGATATCTACCTCAACTTTGATAAGTTTTACTATAGGCCACAGCAACGCGTGGCAGGGCACAGCTAGTACTGTATACAAATTGAATATACAATGTTTCTAGTCTCACTCCAGTAGAAATCGGGGACAGGAGTACAAACTAAATAGATTCCCAGATATATTTTTTTTCTCCTGGAAAGGTTTTAGTAGAACATTATTTTGTTTTCCAGACCAGAGTGAAGGAGAAGACCTTGCCATTTATCTGCAACAACCTATAGTAGATTTCATTTAAAGAATCAACATTAGCAGCAATACAACCCTTATGTGGAGAAACAACCAAAAGGTTTCAATTCTCTGAGCTTTTCAGAAAGTCCTATCTTGAGCAGGGAGGTCACCTCTAACAGCAGTGTAAGAACTGGAGGGGGATGTTGTTTCGCAGAGATAAAATTCTACAAAATACCTTCCAGAACTTTGAAGCAGGAAAGAACTTAACGGGAAGCTTCAGAAACTCATAAGGTTGGCATTTTGTTCTGTCGCTGCAATTTTAATATCACTCTAATCATTTGAATGAACCCCCCTGGAAACAATACCGAATAGAGCTAGGTCAGGAAATACCACAAAATCCCTCAATTCATTGTGAAAGTTAAGACTCTTAAAATTAGGTTTTTAACTCTGAAAGTTTGTTTTAAAAATCCAGCAGAACATTTTGTAACTTCAAGGAAAGCTGAAAATGTGCTTAGTATAAAGGTCAATGATATAGCCCCTAGTCTATCAACTACTGGGTTTGTGATCTCACCATTTCTAAGGGACAAGTGGGTCTTT